GGGGGGGGGGGGGGGGGGGGGGGGGGGGGGGGGGGGGGGGGGGGTTAGCGACACGACGGAAAAAACGAAATAAAATATCCCAGCCGATAACTCTTGCGACTAAATCTTGAGGAGAAACCCAAGTATTCAGACCCATAGATACGTGTGTGAACAAACTTAACGTAGATACTCCATTTGGTGGATAGCCGCGCATACCCGACCACCTGGATCTCGCCCTTTAAGACTCCGATCGCCACTCAAGCACTGGCAGGAGTGTAGTTCAGCAGGAGACTCACAGCCTTCTGACGATTGGACGTGGGTTAAAATCGCGGTGCTGTCGCACGAACTGCGATTTTCTAGGAATATGCAACGAACGGGCCGAACACAAGGTGGAAGCGATAATTCCTCTTGCGTGGGCAAAAGTTCGACTTAACAGTCGGCGAGGGAAGGAACAGCTAAATCAAGCTGAACGCTTCTCGCAATAAAAATCAAGGTAAGGCACCACAGAAGGAAGGGGGAGATTACAATTCCTATGCTATGTGTCCTCCAGCACTAACTGTAGCGATGGGTGTAAGGAGCGACAACGTAGATGGGATTACGAAACAAAGAGCACGATCCTGACTTTTCAGGCGGACATGCGAGTCGAGTCCGGGAACACCTGAGTCTTGTTATCTAGTCTCCATAGTCTACATTAGGCTGGGACCGTTCCGATCGGATGTTCCATGACTTTGACCTATGGACCGTCCTCCTGGTTCCAATTGTTGGACGGCTCATTGGCCAGAACGAACCGCCCAAGGGCAGCCCATCAGCCCAACAAGTATCGCAGGAAAGCCGCAACAGGAGTTACGGAACTGATGCAAACATGGGGTACATGTCATTCGTCATACATTCGCCAGGAGTGAGTGCCCTCTGCTGCAATGCACTGCGGCATTCCTCTTGCCTTTGGTCCAAAGGACGCATTACCTTAGGGACATTTGGACGTAGGGATTCATGTCTCCGAATCGCGCATGGTCATTCTTCCTCACTCACATCCCGATCCTCAGCTTTGGGCATTCGTCCAAGCTACCCAATTTTGCCTTTTTATCATGAATGCTTGCAAGCAAGCCCTCAAATTGGCCAAGCGATAGCCGGTCGCCCCGGTGGTCTAGTTGGTATACGCATAACTTCCTTGAGGTCAGGTCAGGCGTTCGAATGCCCGCGTAAGCGACCTTTTCTCTCAAAGTGAGTTGTTCACTCGCTTCCGCTCCTGACCTAGGGGATAGCGCTAGTTCGTGCGTGCACAGAGGGAAGAGAGTGCTGAACTTTTCTCGCATAAAAAATCGGTGGCAAAGTACCGCAGGAGGGGATGATAGAGAGGGGCTGTTCTGTGTGACCACGGGTTGGAGTAAACGGCACTAGTGCTGTGAGCGCTGACTTGAAGTGAAGACAAACAAAACCCCCCCCACAACTTTGCCCCACCATAAATACATGTGCCATGGTAACTACCTGAGGTCAATACTGATGCAAAAGCTCTGCATTTCCAGCGCACGATCGACGCGATATATTGGCCAGACAACACGCCGCTATCACTGGTTCTAAGGCTTCGACCGTGGCTGACGAACCTTCTCTCGCACATATTCCAGGCTGTTCCGAGTCCAAACCGTGTCCGGGTGGTTCTCCCCAAGTTTCTTCGTACGGATTCTGAGCATCCAATGGTGGAAATGCCTCCGTGTGTACTTCTCCTGCGGGCGATTGAGGCGCAGAGTTGATGACCAAATCGAGTGCACAAACGGTTCTACGATGGCTGGGATAACACCAATTCGATCACCACGTGGTACACACAAGCAGTGGTGGGGAAAAAGTGGTCCGGCCAAAGTGCAACGCACCACATACCGACACGGGAGGGATTCAACATGAACAACGGCAGGCATCACCCTCTTGTTTCCACGCCATTGGCAACTGATCACACCGTTTGTTCAGCATGCCCGCTGGCTTCAGCCATTTCATGGTAAAACAACCAAGCGTCTCACCTTCGTATCCAAAAACGTCCTGAGGAGCGCCAAAAAACAATCCCGGAAAGCTAATTCAGGTTCTCACCTGGGCTATCAACACCCCCGCCAGGCTGTGGAGCACCGTGGCTGAATTCGGGTGATCCAAACCACAGGCCTTTTCGAATATCGCCAGTGACCGCTCGTACAGTGGCAGGGCCTCAGCGTACTCGCCCTGGCATGCGATCGTAGATGATGTGGCAAAGTTGCCATCATTGTTTAGTCAAAATGGGATCTCCAACCACGCCTGCCCGAATGTTGAGCGGCTAGGCCACACCCGCGTGCTCCAGGCCCAGCACCTCCCCTCGAATGGGTCATGGCCGTTCATGGAGTGACTCGGTCTCAGCACACGTGTCATGATGTATACCAGTGGACAACGAGGTAGAATTCGATTTCAGTCAAATTGAGATGTAGATCAGCGGAGGAACACATGCTTCTAGAAGCGTCCGAAATCATCGTTCGTCGCTCACCTGATGCTCCAACAACAACGCCCCGGTCGTTGAGCGATGCGGCCACACCAGGGTGCTCTCGACCAGCATCGTCTCTCGAATTACCGATGACGGCTCATGCAGCGGCACGGCTTCCTCATACTTCCCCTTGAATACAGTCGGCAGCGTGGCAGGCGTGGCAGGGTCGTGTTGCAGCACCAGTCAGATCTAGAACTGCGAAGGAACATTCTGCTTTAACCCTTATGTGACTACACCCACGAATGAGCTCCGTTCCCAGCTCCGATGACTCTTTAATGCGACATTTACCGAACCGAATTGAGCCCGAATTGAGCTGTGGATACCTGCGTCGACGAGGGCTGGACTGGACGAGTAGACCGTCGAAAAGGAACTAAATAACGACGGGGACAGCAGCAGTAGAGTCCCCTACACATAACATCAAAGCTTGGGAGATGCAACGTTGCCGAGCACCCGACCCGCGCTGTGCAAAAGGGACCGCAATCCAGCACGCGGAAAAGCGATAATGAGGCCGTTTTTTCTCGTGCTTCTAGCGATTGTTCGCACGAGCTCTATGAACACTCCTGCTGTGGATTCGGACTCGGACCACCAAGTTGTGTTGCGAGTTGACAAGAGACAGGAGCTAGCTCCCCCACCGAGTGCTTTGGGCCGGAGGGTACAGGAGAACATCGGTGGGCCTCAGGCGCTCAGCTTGAAGTGCAGCACAACATTGACACAAGGTGGGAGGGATATGACCCCCTTGGCTGGAGCTGGTGTGCATACTGTAGAAGGGGATGGCAAATGCGGGTGGAACGCGCTGCGTGCGGGTCTGCAAGTTTGCCTGGGTAGAGCGAGGACTCCCAACGAGCAGCAAATGCGGGCAGCGGTTGCCCGTAGAGCCATAGAACATGTCGATCACGGGATGGCCGTGGAGGATAAGACGGTCAGGTGGTTTTGCGATCTAGCCTGGCAAAGTGCGGAGAAGTGGGTTGACGTTACCTGGATGTCCTTCCTGGCCTCGGTGTGGGAGCCAAGCGCCAAGCACGGCGCAGTCCAGGCTTACTCAGGAAACAACACGGCAGGCATGTTCTTGTTCGAGAAAGAAGACAAAATGGACGAGGAAGGAGATCACTGGGTGCATCTACTCTATCGAGAGCACGCGAATCCATGGCTAGCGCGTAATCAAAACCATAACCTCAACCACTTCGACCGTCTGCAGCTTGGACACGATGCAGTTGCTTCCTTCGTCGAAGTCGTTGCATCAGCGAAGCTGCAACTAGGCACGGTGACGTTGATGCCGTCAGCGATTTACACAGCAGGCGGGGAGGCGGGAGGGTCCTCAATGGTGGGCGGAGAAGAGGAGAACCATCCCGAGTTCAGCATGGGTCCTCTCCCGCGCGGCAGCAACAGCAGTAGCAGCAGCAGCGGGAAGGAGGGGGGACAGGCTGGAGCGCGAAAGAAAAATAAGGGCAAGATCGGGCCGAAGGTCGTGGTGAAGCGACCTACCGCGGGGCAGACAGCGGAGAACAAGAAGCTCAAGGACAGGGATGCATCAGGGAAGCACAAGGCCGGGTTGCGCCAGGGAAGAAGCGCGAGGCGGTGGTTGCGCCGGGGAAGCGGAAAGCGGGGGTTGCGCCAGGGAAGCGCTCGGCGGGGGTTGCGCCAGGGGATGGGAGAGGTGCCAAAAAAAAAGTCAAGACTACACCGACTGGTGGGAGGAACTCCTCGAAGGCCAACGGCAAAGACGACAATGCCAACTATGATTCCGACGGCAGCATCGGGGGGGGGGGCGTAGACCACAAGCAAATCCCCGGGCGCCTTCCCTACCATGACAAACCGGAAGAAGCTGGTCACGGCCATGATNCTGAGAGTAAAAAAATGAGTGCGCAGCGCTAAATACTACTTCCACAGTTTTTTTTTTTTTCGCTTGGGATACCATATGGCG